TATCTATCTATCTATCTATCTATCTATCTATCTATCTATCTATCTATACACAGGCAGACGCATGTGCATTAGACACGTGTACACAGGTAGATGCATGCGCACAGGTAGACGCATGCGCATTGGTAGACGCATGCGCACAGGTAGATGCATGGACATTGAATAGCGAGACTTCAGTAACAGTATAACAGGGTGTTGAGAAATTTGAATAATGTTTATCAATATTGATTTTTATCACAAAGCATCTAAATAAAACATCTGGCCAAACAGCTGTATACAGACAGAACCACATTTTTAACCTTTAGAACCAGAGATTCGTCCTCATTTGTAATAGTAACTCCGTCTGGTTTTGGGGAAGCAACTAAGAAAAAAAAACTCTGCTTTAGGGATAACTAACAGTTCCTGACCCGTAAAGGGCTGTAAAGCTAAAGCAGATCAGACAAAGCCATGAAGACATTCAGAAACAAACAGGAGAAGTTTACTATTTAATCTGAGAATGAACAGGGAGTTATTGGGGCTTTTCCAGAGCTCAGCAGAGGCTCAGATCCTCTGGATATTCAGTCTGAGCCCAAACAGAAACACGTTTCCAACAAACTCTGATCAAAACAAACAAACGGAGAGTTTCCAGCTGGAAGTGAAGCAGCTGCAGAGTGTTTTTACAGGTAGCTCCAGGTAAACTCACCTGTGGAAGCAGCAGGCAGCAGCAGGAGGCCCACAGCCAGCAGGCAGAAGCTCAGAGACCTCAGAGCAGCCATTTCCTCCCGCTCCACTTCTACACAACCAGCTCCCAGCTTCAGGAGAGAAGGCAGCAAAGCCTGCCCAGTTTTCCTGAGAAATGAGAGCCTGTGGGAGCCTGAGAGAGTCCCGGAGGACAGCAGAGTCCTCTTTCTCTGCAGCGGACCGAGGAGAACAAAGGCAAACAAGCTCGAGAAGTGAGGAAAAATGTCAGAAAACTCCTCCGAGCTCAGCGTGAAACACAAAAAACGGACTAAACTTTCTGTTCTGCGTTCGCGTCTGAGCGGAATTTGGCAAAAGTTCAGACTCTGCTGCCCCGAACGAACACAGGAAACAGGGCGGGGACCTGTGTGTGTGTGTGTGTGTGTGTGTGTGTGTGTGTGTGGAGGGGGTTTGGGTTGGGGGGAGGGGCAGTTTGTTCTGTAATTCCATCAGGACAAATCACTTTGTAAGTCTTAGAGAGGAGACTTTGGCAAAGTGGGGACATTTCTGTTACCAATGCTCCCAGGGGCCCAAACCTATAAAAGAGAGCTTTTATAAAAAACAATCATGTTTTTTCTCCACCTCCCTCTGCTGCCCAAATATACAGGGATTGGACAATGAAACTGAAACACCTCTCATTTTAGTG